AAGTGTCTTCTCAGCTATATTTAACTGTGTCACTACTGATCTACCATTAGCATGCATTTTATTTTTTTGTCCTATTACATGTGATATGTAGCATATGTTTACTATGTATCCATGATATATAGAATTCTGTGTGTGTATGTATGTATGTGTATGTGTGTGTGTGTGTGTTATGGTGCTGGGGACTGAACCCAGGGCCTCAGACATGCAAAGCATGTACTCTACCACTGAGCTACCCACCAGCCCTGATTTGTGTTGTTTTTCTTTTTTTAATTTGATATGAATATAATTTTGAACACATTCTTTTGCAATTTACTTTTGTTTTTCATTATTGTTTAAAATGTATCCATTGATATCTATAGCCATACTTCATTGATTTTTAACTGTTGTTCATTGTTAAAATGGATGAATATGCCATAATCAATTTATTCATTCTTCTATGTATTGGCAGGTAAGTTGTTTCTAGTATCTTGCTATTATATTGCTGAGGCTGGCTTTGAACTGTGATCCTCCTGCCTCAGCCTCCTGAGTCTCTGGGATTACAGGTGTGCACCACTGTGCCTGGCATTATGAGTTCTTGTTGAGATTGATGAACTGTTGAAGGAGGGAAAGCAATTTCCTTTTTCTCCCATATAGAGTTCAGGTTGTTAGGTAGTAGCTATGAATGAGCAGTGAAATACATGGTAAGACACAAGTGTTCTTTAAAGTACTTCAGAGTCTTCTTTAACTATTCTCAAAGTGGACGAGAGAGCAAAGGGTGGTTATTAATTTGTAGAAAATAAACAGAAGGTTTCTGCATCCTGAGGCTGTACCCTCTGGTTTGGTGTCATGGAGGCTCCCTTGAAGCTAGCTTTAGTTCATCCCCCTGTTGCTGTGACTTTGTTTGGATACAGGGTACCAGCAGTCATGAAGATCTACTGTGGTCTCACTTGACTTCAAGTTGATCTTAAAGCACTGACAAATGGCAATTGGTGTTTGCTTCCTAATGAGGGTTTTCTGGGTATAGATGTCCTGTAACCAACATGCAGCAGGATATTTTCATGTTTTTATACCCTACAAGTGACTATGGTATCCAAACTCAGATTGCAAAGGGAAGGATTATTTTTAATAATCCTAACATTTATCTTGAAAACATCACCAAAATAAGAAATCATTCCTGACTCATGCACTCTTCACCAAGGCCAACCCTCATCATGACCTGCAGTTTATTCATCCACCCAATGCAGAGCAAATCACTGGCTTCTCCAATTTTCCAAAAATACTTCCAATGCCATTTCAAATGCTTGAAATCATGCTGTCATACTTCTCTATCCATGAAGATCAATGAAGTCAAGGAAGTACTTAACATTAGAAAACTGCCCACCAGATGCCTCATTTTATTTTCAATGGGAAATGGAAATGGGTTACATAAAGATGTACGGAGCAACGGCAGCAAATTGAGGACAGAGTAGCAATAACAACCTTTGGAAATGTAGCACAGCTCTTAGTGATACCATGTGTTTTTAGATGTTCTTATGAATCTGTAATTTTAATAAAACTGACATTCCTCTTATGAGAAAGGAGTTTGAAATCATACTGGAATAAAAATAAATAAATCAAATAAACAGAAGCAAGGAAGCCAATGGGAAAATATGTCAAAAGAAAAGGATTAATGAGACTAATTCTTGACAGGATCCACTGAGGTTGATGTGAAGCTAGGAATTATAGCTATAGGTGTCTCCAGTTGTCTGGGAAGGAAGATTCCTTTAGTAGCGCATGCTCACTAAGATAACTTCTGACCAGCTACTGACCCCAGTGCCCACATTAACATGGAATTGACTTGCAGATGAAGCCCCCTAAATAGGGTGGCCACCATGACAGTTCCAAAGAGGACCAACTAAGATCAAAAACTCCACCACTCAATATGAAGGAAGAGTTGAACACCTGATTGGCCAAAGAGTACAGAAGAGGGTCCCCAGCTCTCCTGACAACATTAAACAGTAATAAATTTGGAGGCAGCATTGTCTTCTTTTTGTTCTCTGCTCAGAGACAGCCCACCCTCTCTCTTTCTTGAGAGTGCTCTCTGCTTAAGCCTCACTCTGCTTTTACTTCACTTTCACTTATAATAAAGTTCTCTTGCATGGCTTTTGGTGTCTGACTTCCAATTTTTTTTCTTAGGAACACAAGAATCGAGGTTTGGAGTTTCAGCTCCCTGCTTTCCTGTGACAAGGTCATTCTTGGGGCAACTTCCTACCAACAGCTGTCCTCTCTCACTTAGGTAATATCCAGTTCAGATGCAAGTCTGCACACTCTTTCTCCAACAGTCTCATTCCTCTGTATGTACCCTAGAGAAACTTCCTGGGTGTGTGCCCCTGCTTTACTCTCACACTCTCCTTTCAGTAAATTCCCAATGACAGCAACATGCACTTAGGCTAATCTTCTTGAAGCCACTACAAGTGATAAAACCATTCTTTGAAAATCATAGTCGCGTATAGGTCAGCAATAGAGGCTCACAGTGCATCTATGCTCAATGTGGAAGAAATCCATTACTGACAGCCTCTGTCTGCTCAATTACCTACATACACTCTACTCCTGATCCCTGAGGAGTCTGGAATCTACTGTTTTCAATTTCTAGCTACCTTTTAGTCTTCTGCTTGAACAATATACCCTTTCTGGCATATATAATCATAAACTTTGTTATGTTTCCCTCACCAGGCTATCAAATATTCAGATATATTTTCTTATCAGATGCTGAATCTTCTTTCATTTTAATAGCAGAATGGTATTGTGAAAAGAAAGCAGATTTTTAGAGCAGAAAGGGTTGAATCTCTACTATCACTTTACTGTATTGTGTTAGGTAATTTAAGCCTACTGTTTGTTAGGCAGGGAAATCTGTGCCTGTCTTATGGTTGCTGAGAGACTTTAACAGGATATAATAGGTTAAATTTGTTTATTATAGTGTCTTGCATGTAGTAGGCACTTAATAATGAGTAGGTCATTTCTCTCTTCCTCCCCCATATTATTTCTTGAGTAGAGATGGAGTAGAAAGTCACCTAAGTGACTGTTTAAGACTCCACCATAAACCCCACAAAATCTCTTTTCCTGTTTGCATTCCAGAAATTCTGCCATTATCAATTATTTGGGGCTCCCAACTGAGAGGTATTGTAAGTCCCTTCTCCAGTGTAAATGAGTTTATCAGGTACTTTGTTCCAAGACAGAGAAATGTGATATGAACCTTTTGCCAAAGTACATGGTGGGGACATTCTTTCTTCTAACCAAGATAATCTTAACCAACCTGGCAGAGGGACCTACTGCTCCCAAAACAGGGATGTTTCTCTTGGACAATTATGTATCTATCCTTGTACTTATATACAAACAGAAATAAATGGCATCATTGCATCAGAGGTATCTACCTCTATAAACAGTGAATATCCTTCAATTTAATTTTGGTTTGATTTGGTTTGGTTTGGGGATTGAACCCAGGGGCACTTAACCACTGAGCCACATTCCCAGTCTTTTTCATTTTTAATTTCAAGACAGGATCTGGCTAAAATTGCTTAGGGCCTCACTAAATTGTTGAGGCTGGCTTTGAACTTGCAATCCTCCTGCAATCTCAGTCTCCCGAGCTGCTGGGATTATTACAGGCATGTGCCACCATGCCCGGCCAAATGAATATGCTTTTTACCATATGTTTCTTAATTGTTTTTTTTTTGTTGTTGTTTTGCTTTTTGTTTTTTTTTCTGTAGTGGGGATTGAACCAGGGGTGCTTTACCATTAGTTACTTCCCTACATCCCCAGACCTTTCTAAATTATTAGAACAATAAATTATTTAAATTATTAAAAATAATAATTTGTTTTTATTTTCAGACTGGGTCTTGCTAATTTGTTCAGGCTGGCCTCAAACTTGTGAAACTCCTTCCTCAGCTTCCTGATTCCTGGGATTACCACCATGCCCAGCTATCTAAAATATGTTTAGACTATTTTAGAATAGCATATTATTATGTAAAATATGTAATTATATTTTATAGTAAAAATCTTGATGCCAGTAAGATTGCCATCAAAAGATCCACTGACAATTTCCCTCTTATGTATATCCACATCAAGGCAGATGCTTTCAATGGTAAAGCTTTTAGAAAAGAGCTAGTTCTCCTGAACGACTTAACTGAAGAAGTTATTGGAAAGCCTCCCCACATTTTAAATGATCAAACTGGAGTTATCCTAAATCACTACAGGACTTAGGTAACTTGAGACAAAGAAAAAAAGGGATCATTCATTAAGAAGTGTGAGAAATGTCTTAGGGTTGATTTTGTTTAAATGCCAGTGTGAATTGATCATTAGCATTTTCGAGAGCCGTGCAAATAACACCACCTAAGGGGCTAAACCAACATGGGATTCTTTCAGAGCAATTAATTCACTTCCAAGCTTCTTGTATTAACACTACCATATTTCCCTAGTGTAGATAGACAATTTGCTTTAAAAATCAACCAAAAACTGTGATATTCTGCCAACAAGATTACAGGGGTGAAAGAACAACCCCCTAGTCAAATGCAAATTGTAGTCATATTAGTATGCTAATGAGCTAAGTGATAAACTGTGGGTCAAATTTCCCCTTCTTCAGCTTAAATAGCACTTGAAAAGGGCTTATTTCTAAATGTTTGGGAAACCTAGGAGCAGCAGCAATTAAGGTTTATTACGTGAATATTATCTGTGCATTATCTGTTCAGCAATGTGAAGAATTAAGAGACGGGACTAAACTGAGACATAATTCTTCCTAATGGTTTAGAAGTTATGGAGAAACAGCTTAAAGGAGACACATTTAACCATTCTAATTTGGAATGAAGTCTTTTAGAAATTTCTTATGTTACAATTTTTTTAAATTAAGTTTATTTTGTCTTGTTGAAGAAAATTTAAGGAAGAGCCAAGGAGAAAAATAGTAGAGAAAAGATTGAAGAAAAATATATTTTCATGAGAAGGAAGTGAAAGACATGTTTAGAGATATAAATTTCTATTTCTTGACCACTTACCTAAGAGACTTTTTGAGCTAGGCACGGTGGACACCACCTGTAATCCCTGTGGTTCCGGAGGCTGAGGCAGGAAGATTGAAAGTTCAAACCAGTGTCAGCAATTTAATGAGGCCCGGAGTAACTTAGTGAGACCCTGTCTCAAAATAAGAAAAAATTTAAAAATGTGGCTCAGTGATTGAACGCCCCTGGGTTTAATCCCTGGTACTAAAATAATAAAAATATAAAATGCTTTGTGAATTGAACCTATACCCTGATCTCACCTTCTCACCAAGCACCTTTGTACTTTCATAGGATTTTTTTCATATTCACTAGCTTTTATATCCTTATGCTCATCTTATAAGTTTCTTAAAATTCAGGAACAGTTTTGACTGTATTTTTCAGCATCATTTAGCTGTTGCCTGCAGGGCACATTCTGGAAAACCAGGTGAAGACTGAAAGTGGCCGGGATGTGGGTGGAGAAAGTCTGCAGATGGGGGGCACACAGACTCCCTCCCTCTTTCTGTCTCCCATCCCTACCCTTGCTGACACTCCCACAAGCTTCGTGATTATGTGCAAGTTACTGAATCTTCTTGGGTCTCATCTTCGACATTTGTGAAATAGAGATCATAAAGTATTAGGTCCTAGGCAGCAGTCCTAACCTTGGAGTCTCCTGGGGAACTTGATAGAGTACTAATGACTGAGTCCTATGCCAGAGCTTCTAAATTTATCAGGATGGTTGTTGCCAGGGCTTGGGGAATAGTAAAGCTCTTCCGGGACTTGTAATGTGCAGTCCAGGTTGAGAACCAGTGTTCTAAAGGGTACTATGAGAATTAAATTAAATAAGGAGGTGGGGAGCTGATAAGTAGTAGGAGACAAGAAATCATTGTTTTCTTCTATCTGCAGTTACTTTTCCTATTTGTGTTGGTAGTTGTGTTTGAGTCTAGCAGGAAGCTAAGGAACAGGGGGAGAATTTTGTTCAAAGATTTGTTTTATTTTTAAACATTTTATCTTGAAATAATTTTAAACTTGCTAAAAAGTTGGAAGAACAGTACAAAGAAGAATTCCTATACAAGCTTCACCCAGATTCATTCTCTCTCTCTCTCTCTCTCTCTCTCTCTCTCTCCCTCTCTCCCTCTCTCCCTCTCTCCCTCTCCCTCTCTCTCTCCCTCTCCCTCTCTCTTTCTTTATTGCTCAGGCTGATCTCAAACTTGTGATCCTCCTGCCTCAGCCTCCAGTCTCTGGGATTACAGGCATTCACCTCTATGCCAAATTATTTGTTTGTTGTTGTTGTTTTTAATCTAGCATAATTAATTCCTCTTTCATGATACTGACATTGTGTGTGTGGTGTGTGTGTGTGTTGATGCTGGGGATTGAACCCAGAGGCACTTAACCACTGAGCCACATCCCCAGCCCTTTTCTATATTTTATTTATAGACAGTAGAGACACAGTCTTGGTGAGTTGCTTACAGCCTCCCTAAGTGGCTGAGGCTGCTTTGAATTTGCAATCCTCCTGTCTCAGCCTCTGAGATTACAGATGTACACCACAACATCTGGCCTGACATTTAATTTTTTTTTTTAAGACAGACCAGTTGTTTTGAATCCCATACCTTTTTTTTTTTTTTTAGTAAATTTACAATTTACTAAGATTCCACCATTTATTAGGTAGGGAAATCAGTGCCTTATGGTTGCTGAGAGAATTAAATGGGATAGATAAATTTGTTTAGTCTTGGTAGGGACTCATACTACACACAAATGGACCAGTAAGGGTTCTGTCGTGATGAAAACTAGAGTTCAAATCTTTTAGAAGAGAGGATGGGTAGAATTAATGCATCTCTAATTCACAATTTGTGTTTTAAATTGTGAAACAATAAATAGACAATGTATTTCATTCCATCGCATATTTGCCATTTAATATGTAGCATTCGAGCTTCTAAATTGGATAGGGAAAGGGAGAAGATGTAAGCCTGGCCAGACACCAGAAGTTCAACGTGGATCACTATTAGTGAGATAGTCAATATATTTCTCTATTAAATGGCAACACAGATACCCAAGAAAGGCATAGAAAATAAAAGGGGTACATTATTTTACTTGCCAGATTAACTGAATTAAGATTAATACTTTTTTCTTTTAAGGATGTAAAGGTATATTTTATTTTATTTTATTTTTTTCAGATACATAGAGATTTATTTAGGAAAGCAGATACCTATTCAAGAGAGAATGAGGACAAACTTGACAGAGATGCCTGTGAGGATAAAGCAAGGAAAACGCATTCAAGGGAGAATGGGGATCTTCTCTAGAGTGAGAGATGATGAAGGTATATTTTAAAAGAAAGTGAAATGAGCTGGGCCTGGTGGCTCACGCCTACAATCCCAGCAGCTCAGGAGGCTGAGGCAAGAAGATTGCACGTTCAAAGCCAGCCTCAGCAATTTTGCAAGGCCCTAAGCAACTTAGCGAGACCCTGTCCCATAATAAAAAATAATAAGGGCTGGGGATGTGGAATGTGGCTCAGTGGTTAAGCATCCCTGGTCCCAAAAAAGAAAAAAAAATGATATGTGGTATTTGCTGACAAGAATATGAAATCATACTTCAGATTTGTTCAAGGTGCTGAATTACATACTGTATCAAGCTGTTTCCTAAACAACCTTTGAATAAATCCCACCTGGGCCTTACTGTCCTCACTGCCCCCAGCATTCTCGCTAGCCATAGTTGACCATATCAAAGGTAGATACCTGACCAAGGAGACACAAACCCATTCATCCAATCAGATTATCTTTCTCAGTACTGTGGACCCTGAGCCACATTAATGATGGAGCACTTGACTCACGATCCTGAAGGTGGAGAACTAAATTGTTTCCTGTCCTTCCTGAGGTTCTTCATTTCCTCATAGACTGTGAGTTGATATTTCAATAGTGCAATTATTTTTAAAACAGCATATTGTGTAAGAACACAGACAAAAAGACAAAATCTATAAAGAATAACAAGAATAATTATCTCATAAAATATTTTAGTGCTAGGAGTGCAGCTCAGTGATAAGAGTCCTGGCCTTCCATGCTTGAGGCCCTGGGTTCAATCCCCAGCAGAGGGTGGAGTGGGGGAAACAGTATAATCCCCAGATGACAGATAGGGACATGTTTTCAGAAGGGGCAATTAAGTGACTTCTAAGGTATAGTGGTATATTCTTAGCCTGGGTAGTGGTTACAGTTATAGTTATTTTAAAAATTTATACATATGTGTTTTATATACTCTTGTTGTATATGAAACTCTCTCAAAAGGAAAAAAGATGTTTAACTTGAGCTAATTTAGTAGATTTCTGTTCCTTTCACGCAAACATATTCCAAAATCATAGTTATTAAAGGTAGCTTAGTAGTAGTATTCATTCAAAAAATAAAGGGCTGTGTGTGAGCACATACACATGTGCTTAAAGAAGGCTATGCAAATGTCATTGAACTCCAGGATTAGAAGAAATCTTAGAAAATTTCTAGTGAGTTGAAGATTTTTATTTTACAAAGAGAAAATTGAGAGCTAACTCAGAATCCTGGGTTCTGTCCATCAAGCTGTATCATTTCCCTAACACAAGAGACAGCAATCATGTCAGCCAGAAATGCATATTTCAAAGATTCAATTATTTTTAATGTTTATTTTTTTCTTAGAAGACTTGACTGCCTCTGTGCTGAAAATAAATTATTTCATGTAATATAATATCTACACATAAGCAACATTTTATATCATGATTGCTAGATATCAAGAAAATAAATGACTGCAATTTAAAATGGAATTTTACTGACAACTACTAAATTTTCTTCCTTGCTTATTAATTTTAAATCATATAATAAAATGAATTTACTGATACAGCTAGTCTTATGGGTACGGGAAAAATTGCTTCCCCTTTGCCAAGCCCATCAAATGTAATTGAAGATTAATAATACTATGTGTTGTAAAAATTGGCTTATTTTCACTAATGGAAGACATCACTGCTTCTGATGTGATAGTCTGTTACTTAGAAAGGAAAAAGAAGTAGAATACCTACAGACAGCACTGGCTAGATAATTTGCAGGGCCTATTGAAAAATAAAAATGTGGCCACCTTGTTCAAAAAGTGGGAATAGAGGGAAATGCTGTTAAAGCTTCTAAAATTTAAAGATTTAGGGGGAGAAGCGATACTGATATTGAACCCAAGGGCACTTTACCACTGAGCTACATCCCCGATCCTTTTGTTTGTTTTTCTGAGACAGGGTGTATGTAGTTAAGTTGCTGAGGTTAGCCTTGTGATTTTCCTGCCTCAATCTCCTGAGTAGCTGGGATTACAAGTGTGCTTCATCACATCTGGCTTAAAGCTTTTCTTTAATAAAAAATATTTTTTTAAAAAAGCTTTTTTCTTTAGATACACCTCTCTTTCTAGCCAGTGTAGATTCCTTGGCTACTTACTGTCATGCTCTCTCCCATGGGGGGTATTTGCAAGGTAAGTGCAGATGCTCCCAGATACCCTAGAGTCTCATTTCAAAACTGGTGTTGCACTCACCCTCCACCAGATTCACTCTCTTGCCAGCCACTGGGCCCTATAAGGAGCAAGAAGTCAACCTCCCCTTACAAGAAGTCAATCTCCCCTTACAATGGCCTGTCACCCCAATGCATGTCAAAAAGGCACTCCTCACCTTGATCCCCTAAGACTGCAACCTCCATGTTGGTACCTGGGATCACAGATGGAAAAGAGCCTCACTTGTACCAAAATATACACTAAATGTCTGACAGCACACTGACAGCCCAGGGCACTACACCGTGCCCTGACCCAAGGTATTATAATATCACCATGTCCAATCTGGATTTTCCCCCACACCATACACAGGTTCCACTTATGGGCAGAACCACCACAATCACCATCCACCCACCAAGACTCATTGCCTCCCCAGGCAGAAGCAGTCCCTGGCAAGGCAAAAAAGGGAGAGGCCAGGCAGAGTTTGAAATGCTAGGGCATGATAGTACCAACAGCTGAGAACTGGTCTTGGAAAGCAAGAGAGATGGCAAGTGATAGAATCATATGGGAGCCAAGGTTCCAAGCCCCAGTGTGCCAGCATTGTCCCATCAAACTTCACTTTCAAAACACAAGTTCAAAGAGAAAGTAAGATACTAAAGAGGAGTCTGCAGGCACTGA